AAAGACGGCCACCGCTGATATCGTGCACTGCGGAACCTTGGAACGACGAAGGATAGCATCCCACGCGCGAGTGCCAGCGCTTGCATCCGCTCTGGAATGTGCTCTCTCGGCGCCAGGGCCCCCATCGGCGCCCCCGGGGACTGCGTCGCGGTCGTCTAGCCCCGCGGCCCGGGGAGGGGCGACGGCCCCACGAGCGCCTGGGGGGGGGGGCGCGCCTGGGCCCTCGCGCTGCGGTCGCCCGCGCTCCGAGGTGGGAGCGTCGGCGGCAGCCCCCGGGGGCGCCAGCGCCCCCTCGGCGCCCATCGGGGATTGCGCCGCGGTCGTCTAGCCCCGCGGCGCGGGGAGGGCGGCGCCCCCAGGGGCGCCGGGAGAAGAAGAAAAGCAGGGGGCGAGGGGGAGGGGGCGGGGGGGGCGGCAGCCCCACGGTCAGGAGGGGGGCGACGACGCCGACGACGACGGCGGCGCAGCCTGCGACAGTTGCAGTGCTCAAGTTGTGCAGAAACAATCATTCATCCCATTCTTTATCATCGTTCATTCCCATATCCATCGCTGCGCACATTGCCGCCATTGCATCGGCTACGATTATGATCGCATCATTTTGCCTGTCTTGTCGCCGCGACCCCAATTGATCCATAGTATTTGCGGCCCAAGGTTCTTTCGCCGCTCGGGGGCCCCTGCGTCGGCGCGCGGAGGAACTGCGCCGTGCCATCCGCAGTGCGGGCCCCCGGCCCACGCGCATTGACAGGCGCCAGAACTGGGGCGATTTCGGCGACGCCTCGCGCGGAGATTTGACATCTGCGCGCGGATTGAAAGGCAACAAGAGGCTGCGAGAGGCGAATCAAGAAAGTAGTGGCGCGGTGAACTTGTGGAAAATATGCCCCCACTATGCGTTTGGGCGAAATATTTACGCGCGACGGTCAGTCGAGTTCGCCTGGTGGCGCCCCTCTTTCTTTCAATCGGCAATCGGTCACATGCGCGCCTGTTCCATGGTTGTTCGATCATATTTAGACATTTTGATAATTGCTGGAGACGACGCATTCGGTCGCAATTTCAATGGTAATGCACTGCGCACGGGCGATGGGACAGGGCGGCATCAGTCATCTGTTCGGCTGCCAAGTGAAAACGTTGCTCTTCATGCGTCAAACGCCATTTAATTATTATTTGGCACACGCATTAGACAGCGGGTTGCTCGCCGCCGCGGCGAAGAGGAAACTAAACGCCCAGATTGCAGATCACGTCGCCTTACATTGCGGT